ACACACACACACACACACACACACACACACACAAGCCTGCACAATGAATAATGATATATATAATGTGAGACAGAGAGTGATAGAAAGGAAGGCATATATGCTTAACTGCCGTGCAGACAGATAGCCAGTAAGGTACACAGTACACAGACAAGTAGATCGAGAGAAAACAAGACAGATAAAAGACAGACAGACGGACAGATAAACAGACAGACAGACAGACCTACCTTCTTGTTGTCAGCATGAGGCAAGGCGAGGCCACCAACTCCGAAGTCAATGACCTGTCAGGAACACACAGATAATGTTCAGAAATACATGTAGTAATAATAGTAGGGGCTTATGGCACTTACATCACAATAGGCTCGTATAATTCAAAAGAACCGACGATCAGACGCTTTGCTAAGAGTAACATATAAAAAAAGAGAGATAAAGACGATAGATGATTGATGAGACAGAAAGAACAAACCACGCTAGAGCACCCGTCAATCATCCACTAAGTCAACCATATTCCCTCCTCTGGAACCTACTTATTATAACAACAATAACAACAACAATAATACATGGGCATTACGATGATGATAATATATGCTCAAGACATAATAATAATATTAGAATGATTAGAAGTTATAATACCATGCGATAACAAAAAGAAATAATATCCGAAGACATGGTTGAAACAACAATAATACATGTGTATTACGATGATGATAATATATGCTCAAGACATAACAATATTATAATGATTAGTAGTAATAATACCATGCAATAACAAAAAGAAATAATATCCGAAGACATGGTTGAAACAACAATAATACCAGTAACTCAAGGCAATGACTGAACTAGACTGTATCGGTTTTTAAAATGTAGTTATTTTTACGCCCCCATCAACACAATTTAAATTATTTTGGAAGCAGGACGTTCCGACCCTTCCTGTCAGGGCTAATCCAGGCTGAGAAGGATAAAACGTCCCAAGAGAAAGATCTAGATACTCTATAAAAACAATTCTCTCCATTCGGGACTCGAACTCGTGTCTCCTGTGACGGAAAGCGAAGCGTCTATATACCATAAACGCCAGTTAAGTACATGTACTGGTATCGATGTGCCTCCAAACAAACAAACAAACAAAGATAGTGAGTACACACCAAGGGATTTGAACTCTCAACAATAATATAGCCTAGCAGTACTCACGTGCACGGGCTCGCCCATAGAGTGACCGTGGATTGTCTTCCGCTGCGACACGTCTAGACCTGTGACGTCACCACACTTCTGGGAAATGTTTGCAAACGCAGGGCTCTCGTCATCACGGAAGAAAGTCCTGATGGGAAAAAAAGGCGCATGAATATACTCCAAAACGTTCTATAACTTTATTAATGATCCCGTTTTAAAGCAGTGTCTTTTTAGTTTTATTAGAAGTTTTACAGCGCTCGCAACTGCATAAGGTCATAAGAGCGCAAAGGGGTTGATGTCAAAAGAGAAGTTCTAACATGGAATCAGGCTTCTCTGCTCACCTCTCTAGCTTCAACCCACAAAGTCTGCTTTGACTATCAGAGCACCACAGAAATAGCGAGTCACAAGAGTGTGATAAACATCATAAAATAAAAAAGTAGAGGAAAATGACGATAGTAAGGACTAGTAAAGAAAAAGCAGCAGTTCCCTGTTGTAGTTCAGGCACAGTTATGAGCACGACATTGATTAATCAGCCCATTTACAATTCTGCTGAGCATAAAAATAAAAACATGTTAATGTCCCGTTGTTTCATTAACTTATAAGAGAAGAGGTGTAAAAACACAGTACCGGAGGTAACCAACTGAATCACTGCTCGCTAACAGGGCAAACATTCCTATCAAAGACGGAATAGTATTGTTTAATTTTTCGTTTTAAAACTTATTTACAAGTTGCTCAATAGAATTTTGATTTTTTTTTTTTAATCGACATTTTTACGATCAATTTGTCTCTTCACAATCAAGCTTTGCTGGAATTTGGACACTTGCGTACTACGTGCTGTGGTAATTATACGTTATGTTTATGAAATCTGTGCAAGATGACCACTAAACCACCAGCATCTTTGGTGCAAAGGTAAAGTAAATCACCTTGCATTCAAAAAACGCGAGTTTGGTGGGTGTACTTAAGGTGTCTCACACACTCACACAGTCCATATCGACTCTGTCAGGCAGGGTTGAGATCGGAGCTAACACCCTTTCACATTATAACAGCCTACATTCTGTCCATGGGGTCTGAAAACTTCCACAATCATTATAAATACATTACTCACCCTTTGTACTGCCACAAAGTTGCTCGATCGTTTCCAGGAAGAATGAATTCCTTCAGCTGAAAAGAAGAATTCCTACTTTAGGTTATACAATACTAATTATGGTTTTCTGTTAAGAAGAAAACAAATTCAAATCTTGAATGTGTAAGAAACCAGGCTGCCTAAAATGGTCACACAACCTCAATCTAATTCTACAAACTCGTTTGGAAAAGTGTTGCCTCATATCATAGCCTCTATTCTTTTTTCCCCCCTTTTTTTTTGGGGGGGGG